TAGAACTAAGATAGTTCCCTCTTTATCCCTGAAAACCCCTCCTATGCCTGAAGAGCCTGGGTTACCGAAGCAACTCCCATCAAAATTGAGTTTTATGAAACTTTCCGGAGGTGGCTCCCAAACCTGAACTATTCTATTTTCCTTGTAGAGGAATAGTCCACTTCCTTTCTATGTCATTAAAGGAAAATAGAGAGAAAACTTCCAGGGACTTAACGCAATGGATTACCCTTAGTTGGATGTATTCTAAGATTGCATCCAGATTTCTCTCCTCATCTTTAAAGAGCCTTGCATTTCTTTCTTCCCATATTGTCCAAATGACAGCAGCCCTAGTACATCTCCATAAAATTCTGCCACTTTTCCTTGGACTCCTAAAAAAATCATCTGCAAACAGACTAATTAAGCTTGTAAGTTGAGGCCACCTGCATCCAAAGAGGTCAGAAAACCACTCCCAGATAGAAGTAACAAATGGACAGGAGATTAGAATGTGATAAGCAGTCTCACCATTTGCCTTACAGAGTGTGCACCAATTAGGGGATAAGCAAGCATTTTTCCTTCTCGTTTGAAGCATATCTAGGGTGTTGATTTTTCCATGGAAAACTTCCCAACAAAAAGCCTCTACTTGTTGAGGGAACTGGTTTGCACCAAATCTCACTTACTAGAAAGGAAAACGCCAAGGAGGATTGAGCACTCAGAAAACAAAAGAAAGAGGCACAAGAGAAGGAACGTTTAGGGTCCGGAATCCAAATTCTTTCATCTGGGATAGAGGGAAACAATACAACTGAATCAAGGACGAGCAGCAATTTAGAAACTGACACACATTTAGTCTCTCTCAGACCCCTTCTAAAACCCAAATTCCAAGGCACTACCTCCTCAACTGAATAGAAAGAAGAAATTGGCTCATTCTTAAACAAAGATAGCAAATAAAGGGAGAGGAAAGCATCTTTTAAGAGTCCAATCACCCACCCAAAGGTCCTCCCAAAACTGGATTTTAGCCCCTGAATAAGAACCATACCTGACTTGCTCGAGGAAGCATGGAAGAATTGCATGAATTGCTTTCCAAGAGGAGGAAAGGGTAGCTATATTTGAGACTCCAGCATCCCAGCCGCTTTGCAACAGTTCATGAAGGCTAGCAATTACCTTGTGCCACAACTTCTCACTCTCCAAAGGGAATCTCCACAACCATTTACCTAACAGCGCTTGATTCTTACAAACCACGTTCCCCACCCCTAACCCACCTTTTTCCTGCTCCTACACACTACTTCCCACTTTACTAGATGGTCCCTCTTTTCCTCTCCAGGTTCCCAAAGAAAATCCCTCATTAACCTTTCCAACCAATTGACCACTTTTTTGGTGATCTTAAAGACTGAGAGGTAGTACACCAAAAGATTTGCTAGGGTGGACTTGATCAAGGTTAACCTACCACCTAGGGAGATGTAATTCGCTTCCATGCCGCTAATCTTTTTTCAAACATTTCTACCACCGACATCCAAAAATTCACACTCCTTAGAATTCCCCCCAAAGGCAGACCATAATATTTCAACGGCCACTCACTAGTTTGACAACCTAGGTTCTTTGTTATTGCTTCCACTTCCCCCTCATTTAGATTTATCCCTGCTACACAACTTTTCTCGAGGTTGATCTTCAAGCTGGAGATCTTTTCAAAGAGGTTTAGCAACAATCTTAGCCTTCTCACCTGTTGCAAATTAAAATCCTCACAAAATATCATTGTATCATCTGCAAACTGTAGGTGAGAGACCACCACTGCATCTCTTCCCATTCTACATCCTCTCAAAGGACCTTCCCAGTCGGCTTAGGAAATTAATCTGTTGAGGACATCAGCAATTAAGGAAAAAAGGAAAGGTGAAAGTGGGTCTCCTTGTCTTAGGCCTCTAGGAGCCGGGAAAAAGTCCCTAACTACCCCATTAACCAACACTGAGAAATGACTTTTTGCATACACCCATTGATCCACTTACACCATTTTTCCCCAAATCCACATTCTTTAATACCTCTAATAGAAAATCCCAACCCACCAAGTCATAGGCCTTCTCCACATCCAATTTGCATACAAAGCCTTTGCTTCCTTCTCTTCTTTTCTCCTCTACACACTCATCGGCTATCAAAATCTAGTCCAAAATCTGCCTATCGTGCACAAACAATTTCTTGCAACCATCCAATAAAACACAAAATGTTGCTCAATCAAATATCCCAGCAATGGCTTGTTTGCTATTGCCACACCAAATGGTACAAGAACAACCCACAATCATATAAGATAGAGACTACCTCTTGGATATACTACCTAACTAAGACAATCAGGTAATACCAAGGTAGCTTAACATGTAGAGTGATACCTAGGTGATAAGGCACTCATGCAGGGCCATGGCACTTAATCGCCAAGATATTTTTTACACTATGCTCTTGGATACTTTTATATCCTTAACTTTCTAAGATTATACTAACAAAACAAACATTCTAAAATTAAATTATTCAATTTGAGTTAAAATACTAGTTTCTTTTAATTATTTTTCTTATTTGTTAGGGTTCAATCAAGATGTATATTGTCTTAAACCCTTGAAGACTTCAAAAGTTAAACTAATAAGCATGGAAGGACTCAAAATTTTCTCCAATCAACACATTGATTTTTCATTTTTTTCATGAATATGTTGATTTTATATGTTTTAAATGAAGTATATACATTTTTGTGAAGATTTTAGACAATTAATAGTGAAAGATGGTTGCTACTTGCTATGGAACCAATGTTTTAAAAGTGCAAGGCGCAAAAAAGGCGCAGGGGCCAATTTGTGCCCGAGGCACAAGGTGCAAGACAAGGCGCGCATCTTTTTGAATCAAGGCACAAAAATACCAAAAAAAAAAGATAAAAATGTGAGAAAATCAAAAGAAAATGCAAAAAAAAAAATTCAAAAACAATTAAACATAATATTAATAAAAATTTTAACTTAAATTTTAAAATAAATGTTTTAAAAAACCTATTGTCTAAAATTAAAATACATAAACATAACATGTAAAGCATGTTCAAATGAAAATTTAAAAATAAAATCAAACATTTAAAACATGTTCAAGCATGTAAACCCACAATCTCTTTTTTCCTCAATTGCATTATTTAAAGTAGCTAATGTGATGTAAAACATATTACATTCCTGATTCTACAAGCCGCCTTTGTGCCACGCCCCTCGAGGCAAGCCCAAACAAGTCTATGTTAGGGTCTTAAATTCTTAGTTCTCACACAAAAAATAATGATTTTATATATGTTAGTTGTTTTTTAGAAGATATTTTATTGGCTTGTGCGCCTAGGCACGCCTTTTAAATTATTGTATGGAACCTAGGAAATTACCCTAGGATTCATGGTTTTTATTCAAAAAAGAAATCTCGTCGCCTTGTTGCTTTGAAAACTATGATTCAGGGTGTTTTGTAGGGGAGAAGATGCTATTAGAAGAATCTTTAAGGAGTTTGAATTAAAAAAAGAAAGAAAGAGGGTGCAGAAAAAGGAAAATGTATACAACCAATTCATTCAATATTATCTAAAGGGAAGGAAGTTGAAGGGGAGACAAGGGAAATATAAAGGTGAGGAGTGGAGGAGAGCATTAGAGAAGCAAGTACAAGAGAAGGGGAAGGAAGAGAAGAGGAAGAAAGCAGGTGCAAAAAAATGAAAATTGTTTTATAGAGGTTATACAAAGCAAATGTACTAATGCTGCAAGAATGCAAGTTAAACATTTTAGATAACGAGGTTATATAACAAGATTAAGGGTCCAAACATCCAGAGATTGGAGTTTGTAGTTGCAGATGGGTTTTCAGGGGGTTAATCACAATTTGGTATCACCAAATGATGGCCAAGAAAGGGGACATCAAAGGAAATTTCCCTTTGTCAATATGGTCTCAAGACATTATGGATGGGGTGGGAATGGGTGTTGTCCAATGTATATGGCCCAAATGAAGTTCAATGTGTATGGAAAAATTAAGGTTTGGAGAATTCATATCAAGATGTGGACTAGTTGATATCAATCAAACAAAAAGAAAGTGGATTAGTGGATCCGTCTTTAAATGCAGCTAGATTTACATGACCGAATGGTCAAACTCCTCCAATTCCTATAAAGGTTGGACATGTTCTTATTTACAGGCATGTAGGGGGAAACCATAGAAGCTTGGGAAATTTTACCATTCTCAGGCACATCATATCACTAGTTTCCAATAAGGAAATGCAAATGATTGACAGCATTGAGGAATTTTTCAGAACAATTTATATCAAAGGTGGAACCATGGTCTGCAATATTGGCCAGATTTGGCAAAAGCACCAAGAATCTTTTCTCCTCAATCTCCAATATATTGTCAATATTTCAATATTTTTAGATTGGTTGCCATTATTTCATATTTCATTGATAAAATATACTTTTATTATTTAAATCTTCAAATATTTTGTCAAAATTTTCTGAAAATATTTTCCTAGAAGAATAAATGAGGATTCTATGGTTAAATTCTTAGCTTATTATTTTCAATATGATTCACTTACCAAGTCAATGTAATTCCCAAAAAAAAAAGAAAACAAAAAGGCAGACGCACAACAACAAAAGAGGGTTCTCGATCCAATCAAAGCATATAGTAACAAGAAGAAGATAAGTCAAAAAGGCAAGTGAATGTCTCTTAAATCCCTTAATGTCTCTTATTTGATACGGAGAATTGTTTGTTGTGGTTTCTTGAGCCTTAAATATTCAATTATACTTCCAACAATTCATGAAGTTTTATTAACAAATACCATGCATTTAGTAAATTTCACTGATTTCTTTAAATTTCCAGATGTATTAGCAAAATTGCCAAAATATTCCCGAAATTTTCCCATCTCTACAAGGAAAAATGCACATCAAAATTGTAATTAAAACTATGGGTGGAACAAATCTAGAAGACACAAGAAAAATAGGCAAATATATCTTACAAGGATCAAGTAAGACCAAAATCAATTTAAGGCATTCTGATAAGAATAAAAAACTTACTTCAAACACAAAGGTATTCACAGATTCATTATCAGGTACAGAATCCCTTCCTTTGCACGCAATCTAGATCACAAGCTTACGTCAATAGTTATGACTTTAGTTGTGAACAAAGAATAAAATTTAGGAAACATAATCAAGAAAATGATAATATGAAGTGACCTATTTCTCACCTTAACATGCTTAATACCTTGTTTCTTCCAATCTTGAGGTGAATAATAGCGTGTAGTGTTTGTCAGATCAATCACCAGACCAAGCTGGAAAAACACATAATAGGTATGCAACTAAGTTGCTCATTCTAGCAAAGCAAAGTAACAACATATAATTATTCCTTTTATGCATTATTTTTCAATAACTTGGAAATATTTCTGACAAGCATATAAACCAAATTCTTAAATTAATCATCATCACCATCATCCATGCCTTGTCCAAACTATATGGGATCAGTTAAATGAATCCTGTTTCGGCAATCTGTTCTATTTAAAGCCACATCCATTGTTATTTTAGTGCTAAATTCTTAAATTAATAAATGAAGTACAAAAAAGAACTAGCATGTTTACTGTCAAAAAGATAAAGGATGACATCTCCTTTGAAATCTGTCTCAGCAACTTGCCCACTTTCTCTTGGCCTATTAGTATGATGGGATACCTGGAGGATGGTTCAAACTTTGGAAGAACCTCTAATGACAAACCAATAGAACAATTGTCAAAAATATTCCCTAGAAATCAAGGATGAGATTTCTTTAAATTTTCAAGGGAAAATATGGGTTGTTAGCTATGTTTAAAATGGGTCTTCAGGCTGAAATTGCAACAACAGGTTCTTGTTGTAGAGATAAAGAGGGTTAGTTTTGTCCTTTTACTTTCCATGTATCTTGGGAGTATGTTTATATTATACTCATGCACACTATATTATTTTCTTTTCTTGTACCTTTTTGTACATTATTTATATCACAGGGACAGACTTGTCCTTTTTGAACTTTATATGAATATCATATTTCTGGGTGTGGGGACTTGTCTTAGAAACTCCCGTACAACTCTTTTCACCTTCTTCTCCCTCTTTCTCTTCTTGACCTAACTCTGACATGGTATTAGAGCAGATCTCGACCTGACTTGTTTCTCTTGCTTCCAAACTGTTCTTTTAGGAATCTTCTCAGTTTGATTCCTCTGGTTGGTGGAGTTCTTGCAGGGATGTTATTATCTGCCCCAACTTGCTGCTGTTCTGAAGACTATGTGTTTTGTTTTGGGAGTTCTAGTTCTTCTCCCATTCTAGAGGCTTGGATCTGCAGAAACTTGGTTGTTTTGGTCATCCTGATCAGTGTATTAAAAGCACAAGGCGCAAAAAAAGCACAAGGGCCAATTTACGCCTGAGGCGCATTAAGAAAGGCACAAAATTACAAAAAAAAGGCTAAAAAATCAAAACAAAATCAGAAAATTCCAAAAAAAATGCCAACAATTTTAAAAAATGCAAAAAAAAAATTAAAAGATATTAAACATAATGTTAATAAAAATATAAACTTAAATTTTAAAATAAATAATTTAAAAAACCTATTATCTAAAATTAAAATACATAAGCATAACATGTAAAGTGTATTCAAATGAAAATTTAAAACTAAAAGCAAACATATAAAGCATTTTCAAGCATGTAAAACCCACAATCTCTTTTTTTTCCTTAATTGCATTGCTTCAAGTAGTTAATGTGATGTAAAACATATTGCATTCTTGATTCTATGAATCGCCTTTGTAGCACACCCCTCGAGGCAAGCCCGAAAAAGTCTATGTTAGGGTCTGAAATTCTTATTTCTCACATAAAAAAAATAATGATTTTACAACTTTCATTGCCTTTTAAGAAGATATTTTATTGCCTAGGCGCACCAGGCGTGCGCCTTTTGAAAGAGGTGCGCCTAGGACCTGGGCGAGGCACATACCCCAAAATGCGCCTCGCATGTGCGCCTAGGCGTGCCTTTTAAATCACTGATCCTGATCCTCTTTTCTTACTCCGGTATTCTATTGCTCTATTGGGTTAGATCTGGAAGAGTTTTGATTTCTTCTTCAGACTGTAACTGGTTACAGTTACCATATCTGAACAGACTGCAGTGTTTGGTCTACTTGGTGGTGCTGTTTGTCTTTAGATAAACAAGTTCCCATCCAGAAAATTCTTGGAAGTTATAATATTTGCCCCCACAAGTTAAGTTTTGGGAAGAAGTATTTGGTTCTGCCTGGAAGGCATTTGCTGAAATTCCTCCTTGAAGTTCAGATTGTTGTCTTATTGTTAATTTACTCTCGAGTTGTAGGGTAAGTTTTGGAAGTGTTTTTCTACTGCTATTTGTCTTTCACTTGTTAATCTAGTGCTGAAATGGCTTTGGAAAAGACTGACCTCCTACCTATCAAGTTTGATGATACTAACTATGCATTATGGAAGTTTCGCTTATAATTTCATGTTGAAGACAAGGGATTGTGGGGTTATTTAAGATGGGTCTGTTTCAAAACCTGATGAATCTGATAAGAAGGCTTTTCAGCAACAGAAAATGGATAATGCCAAGATTGCATCTTGGATTCTTGGATCGATTGAGGTGGATATTGCTATTCCTATGTGTGGGTATTGGACTGCATATGAAATGTTTCAATATGTTGAAAAAGTTTATCAACAATCAGATCTCTTTAGGCAATATCAAATTGTTCAGGAGTATAATGCAGGGCTTGTTAATTTGTGGACTGAATATGAGTTGGTACATTTGGGTGAGGAACCTTCAGATTGTTGTGTGAAGTTTAAGAAACACTTTTGACAAAAGAGAAGAATATAGTGTATGCGGTGTATAATATAAACATACTCCCAAGATACATAAGAAGTGAAAGGACAAAATTAACCCTACTTGTCTCTACACTCCCCCTATATTGATGATATTATCATTACAGGAGAACATCGGGAAGGGATAGTTGATTTGAAGAAACTGTTAAGTGAATCTTGTAAGATGAAGGACTTGGACCATTTGACATATTTTTTGGGTTTGGAGGTGTCACATAACTCTCATGGTTACTTTGTTAGCCAACATAAGTATGCAACAGACCTTGTTAAGATGGCTAATATCATTGACTCTAAGTTGGTTGACACTCCCTTGGAAATCAATTTGAAACTCAGTAAGGATGATGGTCCTCTCCTTGAAAATCCTACCCTCTATCGTCAGTTAGTGGGCAGCTTGAATTATCTCACTATGACACGCCCAGATATATCATATGCTGTGCAGGTTGTAAGTCAGTTTCTGTCTTCTCCTTGACAACCACACTTATCAGCTGTCTACCATATCACTAGATATGTCAGAGGGGCTTTATCTCATGGCCTGCTCCTTTCACCATCATCGTCTCTCCAACTTTCTGATTATGCTGATGCTGATTGGGCTGTTGCCTGGTTTCCCAAACACTCAAAGATCTACTACTGGTTGCTGTGTATTTCTAGGGAATTCTCTCATATCTTGGAAGTGTGAAAAGAAATCTACTGTTTCTAAATCTTCTATTGAAGCAGAGTATAGGGCCATGTCCTCTGTCTGCAGTGAGGTTATTTGGCTCGAGGCTCTTTTACATGACCTTCATATTGACCCTCCATCTATTGTTACTCTTTTTGCTGACAACCTCAGTGCTATCAAGATTGCTTCCAATCCTGTGTTCCATGAATGTACCAAGCATATTGAAGTTGATTGTCATTTTATTAAGGATCTCCATCTTGCAGGCCATCTCTCTCTCCCTCATGTCTCTTCTAGACTTCAGCTTGCAATCTTCTCACTAAAGCTATGTCAAGAGCACAGCACACTCTCATGGACAAACTGATGCTCATTCCTCAGCATCAGTTTGAGGAGTGTAGAGACAGAGAATTTTGTCCTTTTACTTTGTATGTATCTTGGGAGCATGTTTATATTATACTCCATGTACACTATACTCTTTTCTTTTCTTGTACCTTTCTGTACATTATTTGTATCTTGGGGGCAGATTTGTCTTTTTATTACTTTATATGAATATCATATTTCTGGGTGTGAGGACTTGTCTTAGACACACCCGTACAACTCTTTTCTCCTCCTTCTCCCCTTTCGCTTCTTGACCTAACTCTGACACTTGCAAGCAAATCAGTCTAAAGGAATAAAAATAAGGGCAAAGGAGCCCCCTCTTCTGCAAGTTAGATTTACCTAGTCAAACTTCGATGAAAACTCCCTTTGTTAGAAGCTGGATAGGTTCTTATTTAATTTAGAATGGAAGAAGCATGGGGTAGAATTGGTGTCTATTGTCTAAGGCCATACCCAAAGTTACCTCAAACCACTGTCATATTAAGTTAGGTCCTCAAGCCTTCTTGAGTGGTCCTACACCTTTTACATTTGAAAATATATGGCTTACCCATCTGGAATTTGTGTGGAAAGTAGAGTTTTGGTGGCAGGAGCAAAGAGAAGTGAAGTGGAAAGGTGTGAGATTTCATAAGAAGCTGCAGAGGTTAAGAGAAAAAATAAAGGAGTGGAATACGGAGCATTCTAGGAGAATAGAGGAGTAGGAGCTCAATCTACTACCTAAGATAGATGAACTAGATGAGGAGTCTCAAGAAAACATTACTGAAGGAAAAAGAGACTTAAGATGGAGAGTTGGGAGGGATATAAAAGAAGGCATATATAAAGAAGAGATTTGGTAATAGAAAGAAGTCCAGACATAAAGGAACTAAGGGATGGCAATACAAAATCTTTCCACACAATGGCTGATGGGCGAAGACAAAAAGAAAACTTTATGGCCAGATTGGAGGTGGACGGGCAAGAGATTTCAAACCAAGAGGAGATTGCAAAGATTGAGGGAGATAGAAACATTAGGTATTTCCACTCTCTAGCAGATGGCAGGAGAAGGAAGAACTTTATCTCCAAACTGGTAGTAGATGGAGTTGAGTTAGTACAGCAAGAGGAGATTGCCAGGGCTTGTGTGGAGCATTTCAAATCTATTCTAAGAAGGCCTGTGAGTAGAAGGGTGTGGG